AAAAGTCAGAAAGCTTTTTTGTGTGTGTGTGAGATAGTGAGAAGTATGGCTTCTCACTAGCAAAGAGTCAGATCTACTACAACATGATCACAAAGAAAGAGATTTTTGACTTGTCGGTTACAGCTTCTTCATTTACGAGAACATCTAATAAGTTTTTTGGCTAGAAGTTTCTATGAAGTAATGTTTTCTGAAAACAGTAACTCTTGGTTCTTGCAGTGAGGAGCATTTTACATCCGAATACCACAAGGTGCTTTATGGAGGTGGGTCTCTGTTTGGAAGGAGAGAGAAGCCCTGGCTTGGTGACTCGCCCCAGGTGGTATTTGAAGCCAGTGGCAGAGCTAGGTTTATTATTAAGACTTACTGGTTTCTTGTGCTATCACAGCACCCACACACAGACCAGGACTCCAATGTGCCAGTTTTTCAGAGTACAAACTTTACCTCTGCCTAGGCACTCCCCTGGAGAGCTGAGAGAAAGGAGAGATCTCCTGCTGCACTGCCATGTTGCCTAGAAAAGCAGCATCCAAGCAGCTTTAAACACACTTTAGAAAGTCTTTGCTTCACTTTGATGGCACTGAACAGCCTTAATTGCAAGGCTGCTGCGTGGCAGAGGGTTGTGCATACAGAGGGGTGGCTCAGGAGGGCAGGACCTGCCTGGTGTCCTCTGGGCCACAGCCTGGAGCTGGGATGTGCCTGATTCCAGAGCAACCTCTTGGAAAGTAATTTTTTCACATTGGGAGTCAGAGCAGCAGCTGGATGGCTCTACATCAGAGCTGTCCTTTCACATACATCCTTCCTGCAGGCTGGGGCTGAGTGCTCCTTGTCACTAACAGGCATGTTGCTGTGTTTTATACCCTGCCTTGCCACAGAGAAATCAAGGAGATGATAGTGTGGGAAAGAGGTAAATATGGGGAGATTTTACCTTAGTAGGGTAGGTGATTTGCCCCACTGTGTCTGCTCTCTCACAGAAACCTTCACAACAAAACAGAACAATATGCTAGGAGGATAAAATAAGTGTGTGTGTGCTTTTAATACCGCAAACCGGACAGAAAGGTAAGACTTGTTCTTCAGATGTTTCCAGATAGAAGGGGCAGTTTGCAGTAAAAGCCCACTGTTTAAACAGGAAAATTGAATCCTCCTTGACAGTGCTCCTCCTGATGGGATCATACTCCGCACCAGCACTCTGCTTCGCTCCCGTGTGGAACAGATGCTGTTATTATTGCTGCGCAGAGGCAGCACTGAGATTAACAATTGCCATGTACAGATACTTCTTTGGCATTACATAACCCATGTATTTAACACACACTAAATTTTCATTGCAAATTGGCTGCTGTGGGGGTATTCACATTTGAAAAAAGCTGTTTCCTTCCCAAGACATGCAGTTATACTATAGCCTTCGTTTGATCCGATTATGAGAGCCATACTAAAAAATGAAGTGAGTATGGGGCTATGGGATCTCATCGTTTTACAATAATAAGAAGTAAAATCCCAGGGTTCGTTGTTAGTTTTCCAAGTTAAATGGCGTGGAATAGTTATAACCTGTTTCATGTTCATCTTTGATCACAAGTATAGGAGTAGCAATGTAAGGCTGGGATGCATGTGGCACTGTCATGATGCTGAAAAGATGCATGCGACAGATCATAGAAAGTTCTTTGTAAGGCACCTACCATAAGATGAAACACCACCGCTGAGATATAATATTCACTCTTATTCATTGGATTAGGGAGAGAAAAGATTAAATCACACTTGAGACATCTGTCTGGCTGCCTCAGAAAACTTCATTTTCATGCTAAGTGTAGTTTTAAAATGTCATCCCAAAAATGTGTGACATTTTAATGGGCTGATTGCCAAGATTCTCAAATCTGTTAATTTGTATATGAATCACAGCATCAAATATTATGGAAAAAGTATAAGACACCACAATTATGAGAGAATGCCTTGCATTCCCCTTGGTTAAACATATGTTGGGAGGATTGTCTCTTAGAAATCTAATATTACGAAGGCAAATGAGATTAAAAAATGCTGTGGTATTCCCATTTATACAAATAGCTGGTTGCGATTACATCCGGTCTTTTTTACAGCTATGAATAGCAGCCTGGACGTTGCCTGTTCTTTCAATAAGCCACACAGCGTGTTACAGCATCATGACAGTCACTAGTGCAGCCCTGAGGACGGGTTGCATTCCCTTCTCCACGTTTCTGATGCAGCTCCAATAAAGGCAGCGGGATTTCACCAATGTCTTCTGATCATCTCTCTCCAGTAAACAGTTGCTCTTAAAAATGATGGAGCCAAAACAAGCACCAAGGACCATCAATTCTCAAACTCCCATGCACCTCAGTTAGAGAAAGCTAAGGAGCCTGCACTGTGCAGTTAGCTACTGTATGCCAGGGTCCATGACTAGGCTTGTGGGAGTTAAGCGCACGCATAAATGCTTGTTGGATTAGGGTTTATGGTTAGAGAAAATCCTTCCAACTGAAACAAAACTTCCTATCAGGATCTAACTCTTAAACAGTTTTAGCGGGAGGAGGGTGCAGTCAAGTTCCTACAGCAGGTTTTCTCATCTAACGGAACTAGCTCGATGCAGGACTTGGCATATCCTAAGCAATTGTTTATAGCTCCTGCACAGCACATCTGCTTTGGGAGATGATTTGTGACGGAAATCCGCTTGAATGGAGATGGTAAATTTGATTTACTTGTGAAAAAGAAGTGAAGAATTCCACAGCAGAACAATCTGGGTCACAATGTACTTTGGATTATAAGATTTAGTACAGAAAAAAGGCCCAAACCACATAATTCAGATCCAACTTTCAAGCATCAGAAGTTTGAGGTTAATCAAAACTAGGGTTTAGTTCATCCATTCATGAAGATGTCTGTGTAGCTTGGAGCTGACCCTGTGCTTGGATCTTTCCATCTCCCTTGGGGTCCCCCAGGACTGTTCAAAGCCAGGCATCAGACCCTTTTCCAGTTTGCAGCAGAAAGGCCAAAACCACACACACAAAAAGCTGTTTATAGGAGAAGGCAGCTTGGGCAGAGAGAGGCCCAGCAGAGAGAACTAGCTGTGGGTCTGTCCTGCGTCTCTGGAAATGTGCAAGCAGGAATAGGGTAGAGGGGGGGATGTTTCAAGGTAATATTGATCTCCCTGAGAGATTGGAGAGTAGCTGAAGTACTACGGTTTTGTGCAAAAGAAAGAGACCAAACATGGGAAATGGCACTGGGGGAGAAACAAGAGTTAAGCTCAGAATTAATGTGCAGAAAGAACAGGAGAATAAATCTGAATTTCCAGAGCAGGAGGCAGGGTTTGTTGTTCAGCGGTGAGCTTGGTACTAGACACCTGCCAGAGAGGCTGAGCTTCCTAAGGTGTTTCCTGGGTCATGGGGGGAAAGATTGGCCCCCACCTGCTCACCTCTTTTTGAAAAACAAGCTAAGACAACGCATGCGGCTTTGGGCTTTGCAGACGCATAGCACTAGTGTTACCCTTATTGCTAACACACCTAGCAAAGCTGATGGGGCAGCCTCGGGAACTGAGCCAAGGAGGAGCGGAGCAACATGCATGCTTCTTCGCTGGCTGCATGCCTACGGCTGCCGGGGGGGATGCCGGCAAGCCAGGGTGCATGCAAATCACTGGCCTCAGCAGCCATGCCGTGATAGAAACTGAAACCGCTGAGACCCCCAGGGAGGGCAAGCATTTCCCCGGTGGGAGAAATCAGGAGTGGGCGAGCGGCGTGGCTGTGGCTCACCTCTCATGGTCACAAGGAAGGGGGATTTCTTCTCATGGGCACAAGGAAGAGGGATTTCTTCCGGCCTCGCCTTTGGCGAGGCAGTACACAGGAGTCAATCACAGTATTGCCCGCTGTCCATTTGCATAACTGCAACTCCAGGCAGAGCTTGGCTCCTAATCTTTATAAAGTCATCAAGGGAAGTGAAGCTCTTTTGGTATTGTGCTTATGATGCAAGTATACCACAAAAAATGTTTCTAAAGCTTCTCTTCTTAAGGAGAACCGACCCGACCCTCTCCTTTACAGCCCCTTACCTTGTATTCATTATAAAAGCATTTGTCTTTAGGAACAGAGACAGTTCTCACGTGAACGCGTACGCAAAAGAAAACAAGTACAACACCCATTTCTGTAGAAGAATATATTATTTAGCAGATCAGTTTAAAAGTAAAAAAAAAAAAAATCTGTACATCTTTGAAGGTTTTTCTTGTTGTTGCTTTTTTCATCCACGAGGATAAAAATATGCTTGCACAGTGGTTTCAGCTTTGTGCTCCCTTCTTTGCTCGTGCTGAAGGATTCCGTGACGTCTAGCTGTACCAGGCCACAAAGCAAACCTGCAAACTCACTAAGGTTTCTTCTGATTTCTTCTAGTGTAGAAAACAAAAAAATTGCATCCACTATGCTGGGCTTCTGAATGTACTGTGAACACTATAAAATTCAGAGAATAATACAGAGAAATGTGTCATTAGGGCCTGCTAGGCAAACAAAAATATATGCCAGGACCCCTGTCAGAATATAAGCATCTGTTAAGCTATGCTGTAATTAGCATACTGCTGTACACTTATATATAGTCTCTTGACTAAAACAACTTTTTCTTTTGTTTTTGGATGCCAGTGGATCATTTTCCAGAATAGGCTCCTTAGCTAAACTCCGCTTTGCCTCTACAGACTGTAGTCAGTGTGGTCACCAAAAAGGCAAATCTGCTGAAGATTTGAGCCATGCTGCAATGTCCGCAGGGGAAGTCCTGCCGGAGGGGCTGCGGTGGGCATGCCGGAGTGAGGGGAGCCCTTGGTGCCTGACGGCGGCAGCGCCTGTGTGAGCAGGCTGCAGGCTGTAGACAAGGCGCCTGGGCAGGCAGACAGGCAGGCAAGACATCCGTGCCTGCCACCTCTCCGCGTACATCGTCCCAGTTGGATTTTGACATAGCCACTATGTCTGTTTGGCAAATTCAGTATTTCTCAAAACCAGAATAACCTTAGGGCTTATGTTTTGCTCAAAGTCTTTTTCGTCTCACTTTTCGGCACTGCCGGTGGTCAAACTTTCACTTTTCTTCTTCTGCAACTGAAATTAAGAGCAAAGCAGGATTAATACCCTTGGCTCACACAGTGCCGCTTTCCACTGCTGCTGTGAGTCGAACGCTCGTCTCTCCACAAGGCATGTGAGACGTTTCTTGGGAAATAATAGGCAGCAGCATGATATATCACAGGCAGTGTTTAATCCAAACAGCTCTGGATGTATGTCCTGAGTAAACAGCACTTGGTGTTTCTCATCATCTGCCATGCTAGGCTCTAGGATTATTAACTAGCTCCTCTTGTTTCAGGATGTTTCTGAATTCAGGCAGCTATTTTCCTAAGTCTTTTTGTGCCAATACACCATAATTAAAGCTCCATCAGTTTGTATAAAATTTCTGTTTTGACAGCTTCTGTAAACCAGAAGTAAAATCTCAGCTCAACTTGAAGGATGAATAGGACTCAGAAAGCCTGGCAGTCATATTTGAATTCTTCTTCCCCGCTTTGAGAAATGCTCCACTCTAAACTGAAGAATGCCTAAAAGACTTTCTTCTCCTTTATAACAGAGCTGTCAAAGCATGTGCTCTTCGATTAACCAGCCTTAGTATTTGTGCTGCTGAGGGGCTTTTCCTCCAAAGCACTTGGGAGGACGTGGGAGCTACACCAGAAAGCTACTATTCCCCTCATCCAGCCAAGAATGATCAAGTGAATCAACCTTCATTTCCCACATATCAAACAATATCAGCACAACTAGTGCTCTAGGGTACTTCCCAATTTATTTTAATGACAGAGTGATTGATAGTATCCTGTCTACACGATAAATTTGTTCATGTCAGAAAACCCCTACGCTGCGATGCCATTTGGGCTGGTTTTGTCATCTGCCTTGGCAGGGAAAAGCACTTGAAGAGGCATGCAAGGAAGGCGTGCAGGCCCAGTGTCACAGGCTGCAGGGTGCTGCAGGAGCCGGGCCAAAACGCCGGCTGCTGCTGCGCGGGCGTGGGGCAAACGCTCCCGGGGCCTGGCCTCGGTCTGTGCCCTGTCAGGCTCCTGAGGCAATGCAGACGTGGTCGGAGACAGCGAACGTGGTTACCTACCTCCCCTAAGCCTTACATGTCAAAATGAGAGACACTGTAAATGGAGGTCCCCACTCAGCCTGGGCCACAAAATGGCTTCATTGGTTGTGTGTTTAATCCTACTGGGTGCTGTGTATTAGAGGGTAATTCCTCATAAAATTTCAAGCACATCCTTGATGATAGACACGTGAGTGGAAGTTTCTTCCCAGAAAATAAACTTATGCATTGGTGGTGCAGTGCCTGTCCAACAGCAGGACATTTTGCTGTGATCTAGCCCAGCCTAACTCCTTCCCAGGGGACGGCAGCTCCCTCCAGGAAGAGCTGTTTGCTAACACACTCCTCTCAGGTGGTAATCTCTGGGTTTTGTCTCGAGGTCCCTCTCTTGCAAGCAGCTCCCTTCCCACGGCCGTATTTGTGTGGTGCCTGGTCGACTCTGCAAGGGCATGCTTTTGTGTACACTTACTGCTCATGACACATGCCTTTCTCCAGCCAGGTATAATGAATGTGTTTCTCATGATGATGATTATGCCATAAGCATTCCTACTGTTTCAGAATTAAGCTGCTATTAAATCATAAAGTTTGACTTATTCAATTGTAACGTTTGCTTTATCAAAGACATATTTAGAGCTTACCTCTTTCATAGCATCATCTATCTGTTTTAATTCCTCGTAGCGGTCCCTGGATTCCCAAAGGGGCTGGAGCATCACCTCCTCCACTTCTGGGAATAGCTAGGTGAAAACAAGAGAGAGAATATCAACATTCCCTTTTGTATTCATTAACTTGTACATGCTAGAAATGGGGTGAAGGACAGGGTGTGAACTGTACATCCCCATTTCCCTGGCTGACTAAACACCTGTCGGAGCAAACGCTGAAGCTCTGCGCACCCCCACTTCTGCTTCTGGCCTTGGGTGACTTACCTTTGTTACTGTTTCGAACATGGGGATGAGAACGAACTTCAGGAAACCGATCTGTGCTGTCGGCTTGGTCACTTTATCGCGGTCCATGAACGGTGCCACTGGAAGCCCCTCCGATTTTTCTCGGTCGCTCTGGAACAAATCCAGAGTTAACAAATATTAATCTCGGCTAAAAGCCTGTGAGGAGAGTAATGTACCAAGTAGATCACTAGCTAAAGAGCAGTAGCCTTCAGATACAGATCTCAGTGGTGTCTGAGATTAGCACAGAATAGCAATATGCTTCCCTGGGGCCAATGTATCCTGCTTTGTTGAGAGCAAGCATCTGAATAAAGAGAACTCTGTTCAGTTACATCTGCACAGTACTGGCATGAAAGCGTTCACCTCCAGGCTTACAGGACAATGAGGACACCTGGTTCCCTTTGCAAACCCATGGGACTTGTGAGGTAAAATATTTCTGAGCATTCAGAAAGATGGTAATGGCTTTTGCCGCTCTGGAAGAGAAGGAATAGGTCTTTGATTTCCTCATCATTCTCCAGAGAGTGATTATTTTCGGGTATTCAACCAGAAATTACATATCCTTCTTTACTAATGATTAAAACTACTTCTGGCTAGCTGGGTCAATGGAGGACAGTTCCACTGACTGCAATGAGTTTACCAAGCTACCTACTTGACCACATAACTCACTGTTTCTCTATGGGTTCACGTGCAAGGAGGTCACAGACTGTGTGTGCAAAAAAGATATCCTGTAGCAGACTTTCTCTCTTAATTATTGGGTAAGAAGCCTTTCCATCCTAGAGCTAGACTGGACTGTCAGACAGCAGAGCACCTGTAGCCGAGGTGGGATTCAGGAAGAGCAGCGATTTGTTCAACTGCATCTCTCCCTCATTCTTACCTGCATAAAATATTCCTCTAGTAAGCAATCTACCCAGGGCTCCGCTACTTCCATCGGGCGGACTTCATTGGAGATATCACAGCATTTTATCAGTACCATCTTCAGCTGAAAGAGGATAATGCTTTAATACTGCAGTCTTATTGCCAGCCCTTTTTCCCCTATCCAGAACCTGTGTCATTACAATGCAACGGGAGGCAACGTTTTCAAACAGAAAGGACAGTTTTAGGATTAAATCAGAGGTCTTAAATGATCTGGATTCTTTTCCACTCTCTCACTTACCCTGTGTAAATCACTTATCCCCTCTCTGCCTCGATTTCCCTGTCTGTAGCACTGGGATGTGCCACAGTGGGATGTGCACTTATCTGCTGCATAAAGAGATTCAGCCACAAATGACCATGAAATTGTTTGTGGAGCACTCAGAAGCAGCTGGGGAGATGCTTCCCTGGACGTCAAAGATGACTGGATTAGGAAGTAGAGGAGAGTAGAGTTTGTACTCTTGTGGATACTTTTTGCCCCACAGTAATGGACAGTAAGAATTTGTATCCTGACAGAGTAAATATATATTTTTTTTCTTGATGCGACTCCAGGATTTCTAAAGCTGGAATAATCTATTTTATATAGAGCACTTCCAAATTTTAATTCTTTTTGGTGGGGCAGAGGATGTAGGAAGGATTAGTTTTTGATAATGTATATTGAATCTTGGTTTTTAAACAAATGAATATTAATCTACAAGCTTTCACACTATGCACAGAAAAATAATAATCTACAAAACCTCCTTACACAGGTCATGTGTTCTTCATTTGAGTAATCAAAATTTTCCATTTTTTCCTTGAAAGAGTCCAGTATTTCTGCATGTCTCGCCATGTCTGTAGCCAGGATTAACGTAATTATCCCCTAGCAAAGAAAACATGTTCACATTTTAACTTGACATTCTTTACAAAGTCTACTATGGCAGAGCAAAGTAGGGTCTTTCTTACACACAAAAAGCCTCAGATGCATTACATCGTTAACAATGAAAGGGGAAGTTTCTGACTTGAAACTGCCAAGCAAACTGGAAGAGGGTTATAAAGAGTTCATGGTATATGAAGATCATGGTTGGATTGATCTGCAACACTGGTGTGACATTCCAGAGGCATTGAGGATTTTTCTTTCTGATTGACTAATTGTAGAAAAACAAACTGTACAACAGGATGTTAAAAGCCACACTCTGTTTGCCAAGATCCACTTTTGGCTCCTTGGAAAGCACTATAGGTTTTGCTGCTGACCCTTAGTGGCCCTAAGGAAGAGACAAAGATCAGTAGACGTGGATGTCCTCTGTGCTCATCCTCCTTGGATTAAGGGCTTTGAAATACCCAGATGCAGTCTATGTGTTAGGAGCTCTGTATCCTCCTGCTAGGCAGAGTTTATGATGGGAAAACGTTAATCTAAAGTTGCGGGTTTTCATACAGATCTATCCATTTTGGGCCCATGCCTGCTTCCCACGCACTGGCAGAATCAGTAACTCTGACCAGACTGGTATCTGAGCCCTTACATTGGTGTGCTTTTTCATTTGGTGTGTAAGGAAGGTGTAACGTGGAAACTAAGACCAAATTTTGGCCCTTAGTGCTCTAATGGGAATTGTAGCATTGTTCACTGCCTCAGAGATAACTGTGATGACTCCCAGTCCACCAGAGCCTCTTCCAGCAGTACAAGTGCTTTGCTGTTGTAAACCTTTTCCCATTTTGAACCCCCTCTTAAAATTAATACAATGTTCTCTTAAAGCATAAACTTCTGCCATGAGAGCTTAATCCTTTCCCAGTCAGAACTAATTGGCTCCTTCAAGAATATAAATATCTACCCCCAAAATGTCATAGGCTTTAATAGTCAGGATGTACTCATTATTTCTCAGCAAGACATTCCAGGGAGTGCTGCTGTGGAAATTTTCCAAGAATTCCTCTTGGATCCTTCCAGTGTGAGGGGCTTTTTCAGTCCTACCCTCTAGGGAGAATGATTCACTCACATTGTACAGCAGGGAAGTCTGCGCGTGCTTACGTCTTCAGGAACAGTTTGTACGACACAGATGGGAGCAGCATTCATACCTGTCTTATCTGTTTGAATTGGTCCTGGTCGACATTGGAGAAAATGTTGTATTCTGGCTGGGAAATGATCTGGAAAGCCACAGCACAGTGGTGGTTCTCCAGTGGGGAGATGTCATTGTAGCGTACCGCAAGCTCAGTTCGTGCATTTATCTGATAGCTGATGTGAAGAAAAACAATGAGAACTCCTGCAGACACACATCAGCTGCTCTAAACCATGCTGCTTACTTTTATTTACATTCTTTTCAATACTTATTCAATTAGCTGCAGTTTGTTTTTTGATTGTTAATACTAAATCAGATTTTTAGAGAAGAAAGATATTGCTTTAATATCATCTCAGGCACTATTCCCCTGTAGGCTTTTTTTAAAAATTGTACCAAGTCTCTGTAGCTTAAAATGACATAGAACAAATACAGAAGGAACTGTCTGGGCTTCATTCAAGCCCCACTAATGTCAATGGAGAGATTCTCACTGATTCTCACTGGAATTGGGTTCTGCCCTTATTTAATGAATGGCTACAAATAAATTAGATTCTCTCTCTCTCTGTCTCTTTTTCACACACACATACATGCACACAAAAGTGTCCATGGGTCAACAATTCTAATTTCCTCACATGATAATAAATAGAATAATATGCACTTCATAATTTATAATTATGAAATAATGTGTAAGTTAAATCACTCTTTGCATTTTAGTGTAATTATTCCATTTCAGTCAATGGAGCTATAATAATTTATGCCCTCTCTCTCAGCTGTAAAACATTTTACCTTGTTTTCTCAGGAGTGGGGGAAAGTGTTGGAACAGAAATCTGAAAAAGCATTTTCCTTACAGAGCCAAGGACAGCTGGCAACCCCAACCCAGACCCGAGTTTTCTGCATGAAGCTCTGCCTTGGCCCACGTGTGGGTGAACAGCAGGGCCTTGGGGGAAGGTTGTGGCCAGTTCAAGCTGTGAGAAGGAAAACCTGATCTACCAAAAATGCCAGCTGGTATCACCTTCCCAATAAATTTTACGGGAAGAGAAAGCAAGAGACAGACTTACGTATTGTTATAGCCTGGATGGTCCAAGTCATGGCATACTGCTGCAGTCATGAGAATCAAGATGTCAATCTGGGAAAATTTCTCCTGTAAAATACAAAACATTAATGTAGTATTACGTTTTCTACTTCCCCTATCCCCATAAATGAAACTAAGTGAAAAAATCACCCACGTTTACTTTCTAGAGAAATGCAAATCTGAGCAAAATGAAGTATTTTTCCATAGATCAATTTACTTCAGTCAAGAAAGAGAATTCTGCCTTCCCTTCCAGTAAAAATGACTCAGATTTGCCTTCGTTGCATTAAATAACAGCAGCTCAGAGGAAGCAATTTGCTTGAAACTTGCTATTTCTGCAGAGATTGTATAAAAGCACTGAGATATTAGTACTGCCTCTTACAAGTCATTTGAGCGTCCTGATTAGTTCAGGGAGGGCTGGAAGATAGCTTAGTTGCCATTGCATTCTGCATTAACTAAAGTTATGAAAAGTGTGAGAAAAATTAAGTGTTGCATTCCCACAGGTTCTGAATAGGATGAACTTCCATTAAAGCAACTTTCTCTTCATATTCTTATTGACAAGAAAATAGACTTAGGCCAGTAACTGAGATGTTTAACTATGGAGAAGAAAGGGGTTTTTTAACTGAATAAAATCTCGTTTGTACGGAAATGAAATCAATATATAAACACAGATTATCCAGTCAATGAAAATAAATGATGCCTATAGTTTTGGACAAAGTACAGGTCGAATGTGAATCTTGCATACAGTACATGCAAGGCATAATTCACAATTATTTGCGCCTCACCCAGGCGCAAGCACACGTTTGGAGAAAACCTCTTGTGGGAACATTTTGTGTCACAGATGAAGACCATATCCACAGACCATAATTCAGCAGGCTTTTGGATCTGATTCACAGATGTTTCATGCTATCAAAGTGTCAAAAGATCTTCAGTGTACAAATTGGGGATATCTAGGAGGTGAAGGTAGCTTCCCAGCAGCCTCAGAAAGCTGTGTAGGTGCTTGGGGTCTGGGATGGGATGGCTGAGCGGGCAGCCAGAGGTGGAAATGCAACACCTCTCTTCCTCTCCCCAGGGACTCAACAAGTGCAGCTACTGCAAAGCTCATCACTTGCTAGCAAGCTGGTGGCCTGTTTTGCAAGAAAAGTGGCACAGGTGTCGTGGTGCTCAGTGTGCCCCATGACGGAAATGGAGTGATACGATTGAGGTGGGGGGCATACCTGGAGGCTGCAGAGCGAGATCATGCTGTACATCATCTGGGTCACGCAGAAGCAGTGCCGGAAATTATGAAAGGGGTTGTTTCTGTAATTGTCATGAATACACAGCTGCGGGGAGGGAATGAAACAGTCAGAGACAGGGGAGCTCTTTCTTTATAGAAACATGATTCCATACGCTTCCCAGCCTCCCTGGAAGCACTGTATATCCCTACAGGAGTTCTACGGAGCCCAGTATTATTTTCTGCTAGAACAGAGTGACAGCACAAGGCCCTCTGGCACTCTCTGCCTTCCTGGGGGAGGGTGAGAGATTACTGCCTTTCAAGAATTTGTCAGCAGGTAAAGCTCATAGCAACTTCTCTCTCATACCAGCTAGCAATGGGTAAACATCCCAGCACAGCTGCAAGTGCATCTCAGTCTTGAGATAGGACTCTGTGCTCCCATCCTGAATTTGTATTTCAAACCATGCGGTGGTTAAACGGTGACTTTGGGGTGTGTAAAGAACTCAAAGTACATCCCTGTTCCCCTCTCTTGCTGAATGCAAATTGCAGCTTTGAAATCTTCAAGGCTGAAATGTAGTTGTTATTTCATTTGCAAATGCTCAGAGGTGGCACTTTGGGATGTGTTGCTTGGCAAAGTGAAGATGTGAATGCACATGCACTAGCATACCTGTGTGGGTTTCCTGCGCTAGGCAGCATGGGAGAGATTTAGCCATATAGGCACATGGGACTGATTTCTGTGTGTTTTAACTTTCTACAGATCCTGGCTATGTGCCCTCATTACAAATGCAAGCTAAAGCTTGTCTTTCCATGTGTCCTCGCTACTGTCAGCCGGGCTAGCTGAGCGAAGCTGGCACAGCTGGGTTAACACATGCCAGTCCTTCTTCCAATGCACTGGGTAGCCTTTGGTATCCTGTCCTGCACAAAACAGCCAAGAAGCAGCAGCACTGCTGGACCCCTTCTCCTGAACCCTCCGTAGCCCCGATTCTAGAGAGCCCTTATGCACATGCTTCAGTTAATGACATGGATAGAATTCGTGTCCCCTTCTCCAGGTAAATAGTGAATTTACTTCAAGAGTCCTCAAGCCCCATCAGGATCAAACCCTTCAACCTGGGACCTGACTTCTGGAAGCCTCAAAGCCCTGGATGAGGTCAAGAGAACTGTGGGTTTTCAACGCTTAGTCAGTATTTGGGGGCTTCATTGCAAAAGTTGTTCGGATTATTCTGCAGCAAGGACTTCAGAAATATATTACATTATTTTAAAATTAATAACTAATGGCACAATATGGTTGACAGCCAGGCTCACAGGTGGTGGGCAGTATCTCACAGCCTCCACAGGGACACCGCGGTCATGTCCAGGCACCGTACACCTCTGCGCAGATTTAATGTATACATCCAGCAGTGGAGCCCAGAGCATCCCAGGGGATTCCTGACTCAGAGCACTGAAGGGCTGGAGTGGCTGGGTTGTATTAGTCATCCTTTCCTCCCCTTTCTGGAACATTTCTGCAGCCAGTGGATGCGGAAGCAAGAAAGCAAGCATATGCATGGGGTGGCTTTTTCTCCCCCACTTAAGTTCAAACTGGTGCCCATACTGTGCCTGGGGAAGTATCACAGTTTGAAGCAGAGTCCTCGGGGCTTTTTTTAATCATCTTTCTTTCTGCGAAGCTAGTGTTTAAGGAAGGAAATCTCACCCTGTCTTACCTTTATAGAAAATACATAATAAACTCCCCTCGTTGTCCAGAACGAGGCTGTCTTAAATGCTAGTGGTAACAAATTACTTGGAGATACAAGCTAACAGGAAGCTGCCTGCAGTAATGCGTGTGGGTGGCATGTTGATGTGTGTTGACATATCACCTTGTTTCCCATGTTTTCAGGCTGTGAGACAGGAGGAGGAAATTTTCTGTTTTATCTACTCTGTGCTAGCCTTGATTGTATTTGGTTTCACCCCATCCCTTCTGTTCAGCTGCTTTCTAAGGTCAACAATACTGAGCTTTTCATCTGCCTTCTTTGGGGAGAGATTTCCTAGGTCTCGATCATTTTTTGTATCTATATCTCCTTTAATGTAGTCATACCATTTTTCTTAAAAGACTTAACCAGTCCTAGGCATAAATTCCAGGTAAGCCTTATGCCTTCTATGGACACATGTTAACATTGGTTCATTTTGTCCCTTATTCCAGTCTCTGATCAGCCTAATGCCTTGTTAGCTTCAGCCGGCAGCAGCACACCAAGCAATGACAGTCACTGCCCTGCGTACGCTGCTGCCCAGGTGCTTTTTCCTCTTGCTTTACTTCGTGATATGATGAATCCAGTGTTTTGATTTGTGTTTTCTAGCCACCTTCTGAATTTGTGGAATTTGTTCAGGCCTTTCTGGGAGTCTACATCAGTCATGTAAAACAGTTCCTTCTATTCTGTCCAAACTCTTCAGGTAATTAGAAAATATTAGTGAGATATAATTCTTCACTACAGGAATCACATGAAACATCTGTATAATGGATTTCACATCATGATGTTTTTAATTATTGTTTAATCAATTTGTCAGGTAGAGATGTAAGTTTTACTAACCATAATTCTTCAGGGTATCCCTAGCTCCTTTTTAAACAATGGGTAAAATATTTACTGTTCTACGGTCCTCTGGGAACACGATGGGTTTTTCTGAGAAAGCCAATATATTCTTCAGCTTTTTAGCAAATTCTTTCTTATGCTCTCCCTTGGACCTGATAACTTACTGATTTTTAAATACTCCAGTGTTTCTTCTTTAGACATCTTAGTGTTGGTATGATCTCATCTTTATCATTTCATAGAATCATAGAATCATTATAGAATCATTAAGGTTGGAAGAGTCCTCCAAGATCATCGAGTCCAACCATCAACCCAACACCACCATGCCCACTAAACCATGTCCCTAAGCGCCTCATCTACCCGTCTTTTAAATACTTCCAGGGATGGGGACTCAACCACTTCCCTGGGCAGCCTGCTCCAATGTTTAACTACTCTTTCAGTAAAGAAATTTTTCCTCACATCCAATCTAAACCTCCCCTGGCGCAACTTGAGGCCATTTCCTCTCATCCTTTCGCCAGTTACTTGAGAGAAGAGACCAACACCCACCTGGCTACAGCCTCCTTTCAGGTAGTTGTAGAGAGCGATGAGGTCTCCCCTCAGCCTCCTTTTCTCCAGG